TACATTTTTCTTTTGATTTTTTCTATTAAAGAATTATTTGAAATTTGATGACATGGGTTACCTGTTTGGTTCATTACTGTATTTGTTTATTTGAAAAACAAGTGTTCAATTTTGTAGTAACAGCATTAAGATAAAATCCATCTTATTTCACAGCAAAATATGAAGAAAATAAATCACTAAAGTTATCTGTGCACTATAATATTCATAGCTATTCACTATTTGAAATAATTCAAAACCTATTTAAAATGTTATTTTTCAATAAATTTCAATACGTGTGTACAATATTAGTACTTCCCAATGTGGCCACACTGATTAAATCTGTTGTAGAACATATCCTCCAAGATAAAACCATTCACACTTTAGGAACCTTTTAGAACAGGATGTTCATAAGGAAGATCAAAAACAGGAAAGGAGGTGAAACATTGTGTTTTTCAGACAAATTTATTAAGTTCATTATATAAACAAGCAATACTTCTGAAAGTCTCTGAAATTGACCAGGTTCTCTAGGCCCTTCCCTCTCCATGTGTATGTAAGCTCTGTGGCAGGCTCTTGGTGATACAGCTGTTTTGAGTCATTTCAACTCCTGTAAATAATTCCTCACCCGTATTCCTGTAAAACTTCCAATAAAATTCATTGGTTCACCAAGGTGGGTATAAGTGATCAAACACATTATATGCATGTATGAAGATATCACAATGGCACCCATTATTTATTTTTCAAGTCATGAAGTTCAACATTGCTACATGTTGGGACTCAAGATCGAGAAGCAATAAATGGAATACGCAGTGTAGAAAGAGGAAAGGCTCGGTAACCCTTTAGAAAACATTATTTTCAAATGAATTAAGAATTTGAAAGCAATGATGCTGTAAACACTTAGTATCAACATAATTGAGTGGTTGATATAATTTCCACAGGCATATTTTACTTAGCCATTAATTCTCTAAATTGTTTAAGCTTTGCAGTCTTGTGATCTGCAATCTGCTTGCACACACATCAGATGACATGAATCACCTTCTTTCTATTAGCCCTTTAAAATTTTAA